TCGGTTTTGGGCTGGGGAACCACCTCAAGAATAGCATGACCTTGGCTCAACAGCTAGGCTGACTTGATGCAGCTAACAGCTGGAGTCGGTCATCTAACCACACTTCTTGCAACTGAGAGCAAGTCATTTCTTCAAGGCGGCTCTGAGAGGCACATCTGTGTCCATCACACTCTTGTAAAGGTATCCTTATGAACAGAAGTTCTTAATTTTAACACCATCAAAATTTCAGTTATTTGCTTTATGATTACTGTGTTTTGTGTCTTGTTTAGTCTTCTATATTCTCTCCTACAATCATTTTAATTTAGCCTTTCACATTTAGTGAATACATTGCCATGGAATTCATTACTGCATATAATGTAAGGAGATCTATTTCTTTCCCCCATGTGGAAACTCTGTTGGCCCCATATTATTGAAAAGACCATCCTTTCTCCACTAATTTGCAATACTATCCCTGTCACACACCAAGTGTTCATGTATATGGGGAGTGTTTATGGGCTCTCTCTGTTGTTCCATTCCAATAGCATGAAAAGTCCTTTCACCTTATTCTTGTTTAAGAATATCTTCATTACCTTGGGACCTTTACATTTTCATATAAATTTTAAAATCAGCTTGTTTATGTTCCCCAAAATAACTTTTGTTACTTTGATTGCAACACTTAAGGAGAATTTACATCTTTACAACATTAAATATTCTAATCCATTAACACAGTATATCTCTGATTATTTATATCTTCTTTTGGTCTATGAATAAAAATTTCACAGTTTTCTCCATAAAAATCTTGGACATATTTCATTAGATTTACTCCTAGATATTTTATATTTGTTGACAATGTTGTAAATGGTACCTTTTCAAAATTTTTATCTTCTAACTTTTTTTGCCAGCATTTAGAAAAACTGCTGGTCTTGTTATGTTAATTTTGTATCCAACCCCATTCCTAAATTATTTTATTAATTCTTAAAATTTAACAGTAAAGTCTTCTGCATTTCCACATACACGTTCATATTAACTATGAATAATGTCAATTTTATTTCTTTTCCAACCTTTAACTTTTTTGTTATTATTTTTTTCCTTTTGCCTAATGTGCTGACTAAAACCTCCAGCCCCATCTTGAAAAGAAGTGGTGACAGCAGTCACCCTTACACAATATGGGTTCTTATTTTCACTTATATTTTCTCTGGTAATTTTTTATTTTCTTGTCAGTTCTTTACTTTTAATAAAATTTTAAAATATTTTACCCAGGGTTTTTACTGGTTGTCTGTAGAAGGACTGGTCTAAATAAATAACATTGTCGACCATATTTCTGGAAAACCTAAAACACACTTTGATTTGTTTTAATCCCTTCACTCAGCCAACTTCCATTTATCTCTGTGGCCATTGATTTAGGTTAGGTTACCATCATTTTTTGCTGATCCAGTATAATAATCTTTTTACTTTTCCATGTGCCCCTCTTCTTCAATTAATTTTCAATCATGTTGTCTGGAGGATCTTTCTAAAATACAAATTTGATCATGTCTCTCCCTGAATAAAACTCTTAATATCTCTCTCAGTTCAACCAGAAATAGCCTCCTTTCCTCTTTACCCCCATGTATTCTGTGTTCCAGACACACACACACACACCACAATGTTTTCAACATTTTGTGCTTTTATCTTTCCTCTGGACATGCTGTTTAGTCTACCTGCAGTGTCGCTGTCTACCGTTTACCTGGGAACTAATTGCCCAAGTCTCAGCACAGATAATCCTCTCTCCTCTGAGGACCCCCTTATACCCTTCTGTTAGAAGCTGAATTGTGTCCCCCCAAATTCGTATGTTGAAGCCCAAATTGCTATGACCTCAGAATGTGACTGTGAGGTAAGGCCTTTTAAGAGGTGGTTAAGTTACAATGAGGCCATTAAACTAGGTCCTAATCCAGTCAGACTGGTGTCCTTCTAAGGAGATATCAGGACACGTGGAGAGATTCCACGAATGCTTGTGCACAGAGAAAAACCATGTGAGGACGCAGTGAGAATCAGCCATTTGCAAGCCGAGGAGAGAGGCCTCGGCAGATACCAAATCCAGCTGACACCTTAATCTTGGACTTCTTGCCTCTATGACTCACAAAATAAACTTCTGTTTTTTAAGCCGCCCAATCTGTGGTATTTTGTTATGCAAGCCTTAGCAAACAAATACACCCCACCCCTTCCAACCCAGAATGTTAAACATCCTGTTCCTGCTTCCTTTTACACAGTTCCATGGTGGCCTTATCACCTGAACTTGTTCCTGGTTTGCTTGTCTCACCACTGTTGCTGAAAAACAGCTTCTTGAAAATACATGATTTGAATGGATGGATATTTCTCAAAATGAGAGACAAAAGGAAGATTACTTTTTGGGGAACCAATTTGAAGGATTCGTGGTTTGTAGACAAGCCTGAACCCAACGGTAACTCTTCAGAAATTCTAAAATCAGAAACTACAGGGCTTATAACTTTTTCTCTTGACATGGAAAGCTAAGGAAGACTACTGTTCCTGCTGGGAGCAGAAACAAGGTAACGTGCAGGAAGTAAAACAGAGTAACAGCCTGTATGTCCTTGATGAGTGTCAGACTGCTTCAGGTTGAAGTGGGTGATGAAAGGGTATATACATAACTCCAGCAACCTCTGAGTGGTTTTTATCCCAAAGTGCTCACTCACCAGAGAAACAGGCGTGAGTGAGTATATTAGTGTGTGTGTGTTAACATAGTAAAAATGGTGACTATCTCAACATTGTGGTCAGGCTGCTGAGGTCCAATCCCTAGCTCTATCTTTTATTCACTTTAAATTTCAAAGCCTCCATGGAGGCTCCTCATCTGTAACATGGAAATGAATGTGTTTATAGTACCTTCTCTAAAGAGCTGTTTTGTGGGTTACCTGATATCATTCATGTAAAGGGCTAGCACAGGTTAAATGTTGTTATGATAAACATCTATTCCCTATTCAGTGGAGCACATGTGATGTTATGCACATCCATAGAAGAGAAACCCCTGCATCCTTCAGGATGTGGCAGAAAAAAATCTAGCAGCACTATATTCTCTCCTACAATCATTTTAATTTAGCCTTTCACATTTAGTGAATACATTGCCATGGAATTCATTACTGCATATAATGTAAGGAGATCTGTTTCTTTCCCCCGTGTGGATACTCTGTTGGCCCCATATTATTGAAAAGACCATCCTTTCTCCACTAATTTGCAATACTATCCCTGTCACACACCAAGTGTTCATGTATATGGGGAGTGTTTATGGGCTCTCTCTGTTGTTCCATTCCAATAGCATGAAAAGTCCTTTCACCTTATTCTTGTTTAAGAATATCTTCATTACCTTGGGACCTTTACATTTTCATATAAATTTTAAAATCAGCTTGTTTATGTTCCCCAAAATAACTTTTGTTACTTTGATTGCAACACTTCAGGAGAATTTACATCTTTACAACATTAAATATTCTAATCCATTAACACAGTATATCTCTGATTATTTATATCTTCTTTTGGTCTATGAATAAAAATTTCACAGTTTTCTCCATAAAAATCTTGGACATATTTCATTAGATTTACTCCTAGATATTTTATATTTGTTGACAATGTTGTAAATGGTACCTTTTCAAAATTTTTATCTTCTAACTTTTTTTGCCAGCATTTAGAAAAACTGCTGGTCTTGTTATGTTAATTTTGTATCCAACCCCATTCCTAAATTATTTTATTAATTCTTAAAATTTAACAGTAAAGTCTTCTGCATTTCCACATACACGTTCATATTAACTATGAATAATGTCAATTTTATTTCTTTTCCAACCTTTAACTTTTTTGTTATTATTTTTTTCCTTTTGCCTAATGTGCTGACTAAAACCTCCAGCCCCATCTTGAAAAGAAGTGGTGACAGCAGTCACCCTTACACAATATGGGTTCTTATTTTCACTTATATTTTCTCTGGTAATTTTTTATTTTCTTGTCAGTTCTTTACTTTTAATAAAATTTTAAAATATTTTACCCAGGGTTTTTACTGGTTGTCTGTAGAAGGACTGGTCTAAATAAATAACATTGTCGACCATATTTCTGGAAAACCTAAAACACACTTTGATTTGTTTTAATCCCTTCACTCAGCCAACTTCCATTTATCTCTGTGGCCATTGATTTAGGTTAGGTTACCATCATTTTTTGCTGATCCAGTATAATAATCTTTTTACTTTTCCATGTGCCCCTCTTCTTCAATTAATTTTCAATCATGTTGTCTGGAGGATCTTTCTAAAATACAAATTTGATCATGTCTCTCCCTGAATAAAACTCTTAATATCTCTCTCAGTTCAACCAGAAATAGCCTCCTTTCCTCTTTACCCCCATGTATTCTGTGTTCCAGACACACACACACACACCACAATGTTTTCAACATTTTGTGCTTTTATCTTTCCTCTGGACATGCTGTTTAGTCTACCTGCAGTGTCGCTGTCTACCGTTTACCTGGGAACTAATTGCCCAAGTCTCAGCACAGATAATCCTCTCTCCTCTGAGGACCCCCTTATACCCTTCTGTTAGAAGCTGAATTGTGTCCCCCCAAATTCGTATGTTGAAGCCCAAATTGCTATGACCTCAGAATGTGACTGTGAGGTAAGGCCTTTTAAGAGGTGGTTAAGTTACAATGAGGCCATTAAACTAGGTCCTAATCCAGTCAGACTGGTGTCCTTCTAAGGAGATATCAGGACACGTGGAGAGATTCCACGAATGCTTGTGCACAGAGAAAAACCATGTGAGGACGCAGTGAGAATCAGCCATTTGCAAGCCGAGGAGAGAGGCCTCGGCAGATACCAAATCCAGCTGACACCTTAATCTTGGACTTCTTGCCTCTATGACTCACAAAATAAACTTCTGTTTTTTAAGCCGCCCAATCTGTGGTATTTTGTTATGCAAGCCTTAGCAAACAAATACACCCCACCCCTTCCAACCCAGAATGTTAAACATCCTGTTCCTGCTTCCTTTTACACAGTTCCATGGTGGCCTTATCACCTGAACTTGTTCCTGGTTTGCTTGTCTCACCACTGTTGCTGAAAAACAGCTTCTTGAAAATACATGATTTGAATGGATGGATATTTCTCAAAATGAGAGACAAAAGGAAGATTACTTTTTGGGGAACCAATTTGAAGGATTCGTGGTTTGTAGACAAGCCTGAACCCAACGGTAACTCTTCAGAAATTCTAAAATCAGAAACTACAGGGCTTATAACTTTTTCTCTTGACATGGAAAGCTAAGGAAGACTACTGTTCCTGCTGGGAGCAGAAACAAGGTAACGTGCAGGAAGTAAAACAGAGTAACAGCCTGTATGTCCTTGATGAGTGTCAGACTGCTTCAGGTTGAAGTGGGTGATGAAAGGGTATATACATAACTCCAGCAACCTCTGAGTGGTTTTTATCCCAAAGTGCTCACTCACCAGAGAAACAGGCGTGAGTGAGTATATTAGTGTGTGTGTGTTAACATAGTAAAAATGGTGACTATCTCAACATTGTGGTCAGGCTGCTGAGGTCCAATCCCTAGCTCTATCTTTTATTCACTTTAAATTTCAAAGCCTCCATGGAGGCTCCTCATCTGTAACATGGAAATGAATGTGTTTATAGTACCTTCTCTAAAGAGCTGTTTTGTGGGTTACCTGATATCATTCATGTAAAGGGCTAGCACAGGTTAAATGTTGTTATGATAAACATCTATTCCCTATTCAGTGGAGCACATGTGATGTTATGCACATCCATAGAAGAGAAACCCCTGCATCCTTCAGGATGTGGCAGAAAAAAATCTAGCAGCACACAAATGCCAGGTGACCTTGTGTTTCTGAGCACCCTGAGCCTACATTCTCATAAGTATGTTTTTGGAGTCCACCATTTAAAGACTCTTTCCACTGGGTTTATTACCATTTATGACTCAGACAAGAGTGCAGTCCATTTCCTAAAGGTTTTGCTTGGGATATCATGAGGCTAGACAAGAAATGTGTTCTAATATAAGACTTTCCATTTACTGGTGCTTTCTCAAGCATAACTAAGAATTCAACCAGTTTGGAGGTAATCTCCTGGATTCTCACTCTTTAACCTATAATATTCAGATTCGGGAAGGGACCCTCTGGCACATTACAGCGACTACAAAGTTATGGCTTTCCTAGAGGAAATCTCAGTGGATAAGGTGATATAGCAATTGTGCCAACCATGGAAGTGGACAGGGAGCCGACTCTTTTAAGTACTTAAGCAGCAACTTTGAAGACTGTTTAACACTTGTTTTGCTCGCTAAATGAGATTGTCCTGCCTTCAATTCTCCAAGCTAAATGCACAGTGGATGGTTGCCTTGGTGACAACCCGTAAACTAAGCAGTCTCTTTGCAGCTAACTGAAGGGTTTGTACACACAGAACCAGCTTTAATTATTTTTTTAAAAGTACTTGGAGCTGTGCAACGTCGGAAAATAATCAAAGAAACAAATCTAAATCTATGCTGCTTTTAAATGGATCTCTTGATGAAGTGTGGTCTGACAGCTGTTCCAGAAATGAGTGCCACAGTGAATTAGGATGATGTTGACTGCTATTTGGCTTGGTGATCCTTCAGCTGTGTGCCAACTCCCTCGGCAGAACACACAGTAGGTAAGCCAATTCTCCACTTTTCATCACGTTTTAGAGAATACCATATGTTGCAACTGTTTCTCTCCCCAAAGGATGTCCCAGAGGAGGAACATCAGATAAACTGATAGAGGAGACTGTGTCCTAATCTCAAATAATTATATCCTTAGAGTTTTTGAAATAAACTCATTTTTACTTTTCAAATATGGAGATTATCTTTTCCAATGCTTAATGTACACTCCTCTAGACCATAGGCTATACTGGTAAGGACAAGAAAAGCATATAAAAATACTTACTTCCATTTAATTATACCCAGGGATAATCTTTCATTTTAGTTTAAACTCTTAAATATGTGTTAACTTTACATGGTATAAACCTTCTTGGAACCACTTGGTATTGTATATACGTGTTCTTAGCCATATTTTCTCAATAAGACAGGAGATTCCCATTGCTTTAAGTATTAATAACATATGATTCCCTATCAAATGTGCAGTGTAATAAAAATATTTTGTATTACAAGCAGATTAACATGCATACAATTCAAGATAAAAGAAACAGCTTCAGTAGGTGTTTAACCAGAAAGAAAAGCTTGTGGAAATGAAATATTATTGCTTAAAAATCATCAAACAATCCTAAAGGGAAAGCTGAGAAAAATTTTCTTGTGAAGAAACTTGAAATAGAAATGCACAGATTGAAATCAGAAGAGGAAATGGAGCTTATAATAAAAAATGATGTAGGTCTGTCCCTGCTACTTGAAAGAGCTACCTATGTAGGATGCTGCTGTTGTTCAATTTGATTCTTCATTGGCTTTCTCCGGTCACTGCCGAGTATAAAAGACAACTGATGACCAAGTAATGACCACACTGCCCAGCACTATAGCGATTTGATTTGATCACCTTCAGGTGACAGTTTGGTTTAAGTCTTGAATTTTTATCTTTTATTTAGATTAAGACTCTCCTTGTGAAGTGCTCTCAAAGGTCACATTAAAGAATGAAAAATCACAACTCCATAGCATACATTGTCATTTCATTACTAGGGGTAATAACCTTGGAAAAAATACTCTTGGTGTTTAATTTCCCTTTTTGAATAAGCTGGTGATAGAAATACATATTTCTTGTAGTTGTTATTTGAATATATAATGTTTTGTCTTTATTGAAGGGCAGGTTTTAATTATCCTTTGCTTCAGAGATCTTTTCTTTTATCTGAAATGGCATTGCAAATACTGTTGCATTTTCAAAAACAAAGTATATAAATCCAAGTTGCAAGGCAGGTTTCTGGGACAAATATATATATACCGATCTGACAGTTTTCTGTGGCCTGATTTCACGTGTATAATTTATTCCTTCAGCTGTTAGTAAAGTTCCATGTATGATGTTTACTCAATGCTAACAGTTAGGATAATGATGATAAAGAGACAGAAATCAACCAAGTCTACTTCTCTCAGAAGAACTTAAAGAAAATAGTCAGGCACTACTGGTGGGTACAGACACACTGGAGGACAGTCGGGCAGTATTTAGGGAAATTAAATGCACTTGACCCATTCATGTCAGAGAAACTTCTACATAGTGCACAACAAGCCCTGAACAAGGATATTTATCATAGGGTTGTTTCTGTGGAAGTTGGAGGCAACTTATATGTCCATCACCAAGGGAAGGGAAAATAAAATACAGAGGTGCGTACTGTGCAGCCGTTAGAAGGAAACAACCAGAGGTACATGTAAGTATGAGGCTAAAGCTTAAAAACACTGTTAAGTTAAAAAATAAGTAACAAGATCTATAGTACAATATCATTTGTGCAAATCTAAAACATGCACATACACATAACAGTACCATATGCTTTATAAAAATATATACATATCTGAAGATATCTTCCAGGCACATTAGATTGGGTTCCTGAGAGGTAGAGGGGAGTAGGGGAGGGGACCATTGTTGGAGAGGAAAAAATAAAATAAAAAGAGGAAAGCCAGACAAGGCCCAGTACTGCTAATGAGAAGTATGAGTAACCCAACAGCCTCTAAGATCCAAATGAGGAAATGAAAATAGGCCTATTTTATAAACATTTCTTTAAATACTAGTTGTATTAAGTCCTGTTGGACACCAGCACCCACCTCTCTCCTGCATGGGATCCCATTTTGCCAATGTCTGTGCCTCATTTTCCTCATCTGTAAAATATGGATAATAATATTATTTCTCTGATGGTGTTGTTTGGAATTAAATAGGTAAACTATATGTAAGCATTTAGTAATGGCACATAGTAAGCATTCAATAAATGTTGGATATTATTGCCGTTACATCACTGTGTAAGCTGCTTTGAGCAAAGGTAGGGAAAGATTTGAGGAATTGATTCTCTACTGCTGTTTATTCTCTATTAGAAATTGGGTTAAGTTGGTGGGTGAAAACTGGTGTTTATCCTAGGAAGTTTAACTCAAAAGGAAAAAGTGGTAATGATAAATGTCAGAAAATAAAGTGAATTGAAAGGAAGATTGTGGATTGAACTCTAATCACTAGGTCGATGCTTCCAGAAATTATCTAATGATAGGAATCATCTGAATGCTTGGGCAAACAAACAAAAAAAGATGTATCCTGGAGATAGTAAGATCAGTGGTGGCCAGGGGTTAGGGAGGAGGGGAGCCAGGTGAATAGGTGGAGCACGAGTTTTTTTAGGGAGTGAAACTGCTCTGTATGATAATATAATGGTGGGTTCATGTCATACATTTATCCAAAGCCCTAGAATGTACCCTACATTGGGTACCAAGAATGAATCCTAACTGCAAATTCTGAACTTCGGATAATAATTACAGGTAAATGTAGGTTCATCAGTTGTAACAAATGTATCACTGTGGGGCTGGGTGTTGATAGTGAGGGCCTATGTGGAAGTTCAGGGGTATAAAGGGAACTTGGCACCTTCCACTCAATTTTGTTGTCAACCTGAAACTGCTCTAAAAAAATATATCTATTTAAAAAGAGTCTTTAAAAAATGTTTTAATTAAAATAAAAAGTGGGGGAGAGTCCCCAACCTCTTTCCAGACCAACTAAATCAAAAGGAACCTGGGAATCTTTATTATTAACAAGGGGACAGGATAAATCTTATTCTCAAACTTGTTTAGGAAGCTGCACTAAGCTAAGGCCACATTTCTTTGAAAGCCAAGGAGACAAGGTGCCTACTTGCATGCTGTTCTGTTGCTGACCTCATCAATTATCGTTCTGCAAAGGACATGCCTGCCTCGTGCTGCCTTAGGTCTTCCCCAGGTGCCCAATCACATCCTCTTGGACCCGTCTTTCATTTTCTATGGCCAATCAGTCACAAATCCTGTGAAGCCTTACTTTCAAATTTTTATTTCTGCCTTTCTAGCCTTTATCATAACAATCTTCCTAAAGTGCCAATGTTTCTAAAAGCCACTTCTCAAAACTCTCCATGGGCTTCCAACCTGTTCAGAAAGAAAGTATAAATTCCCATCTGGTCTGCCCTCTCCTCCTTGACCCTAGGTCTTGCCCTTTGTTCATGCCCTTCTCCTAGCCAACACTGCCCTTTTTCCTTCACAGTGGCCTCTTCACATATTACTGATACCTTTCTTTCTTTGGAGTGTTCCAACCCACATGGCCATTCCATTTGACATCTGTGAGATTCATTATTAGTTCTTTGCCATGACATTTAGCCATGTATCTTCTTTCTTGCATTTTGTCTTAACTATTTTGCTATATTCTATTGTGACCGGTCAATGAAGGCTCCTGAAAGACATACAGTATCCTCGTAAATGAGTGGATGAATTTACTAAATAGTACTATCTCTTGTGAAGTACATGTTCTGTTTGAGAAGGAAAGCTCTATGTAGACTGGCCTATGAATTCTGAAGGCATTTAGAATATTGTTTAGAATATTTAAGACCAATTCTAGGTATTTCTCTTGTTTCTTTTTCTTAGCTTTTCTTCATGTTGTACTCTGAAATGGGCCTTGTTTTCTTTTGATTTCAACCAAATGTCAGTTCATTGCAAGTATATTGCCTATTCAGTGGAATAGCATGTGCCTATGTACAATAACTGGTAACCGAAGCTGAAGTTGGAATACAGAGTCTGACAGAGGATTTTGTTCTGTTTCCAACAGCAAGAGATTCCATGGGGGTGGGGGTAGTCTGGTAACTTCAAAAATTGCAATTTAGGAGATAGTTCAGTGATTTGAAAAAACAAGATGGGACATTTAACATTAGGACTTTCTGGGAAAATATAGAATGGTGTCCATCATCCTCTTCAATGACTGGCACTGTGCTAGGATTATGGAGGATAGAAAAGGGTGAAGCATGGAGTATTCCTGCTACTGAGGAGTTTACAGTATTGTCAGGAAGATAGAATTCCCTCAAGAAAATAATTATAGGGATATTAATAAACAACACTAAAGAAAATAAAATCCTAGAAGAATTTTCACCAATAAATGTGCCAGCACTTTGCCCACTGTATTTCAGATCCCCTCCAGCCATTTGAAGTGGGGATTATCATTTCCATTTTACTGTTGAGGAAATGAAACTTGGAGAAGTGGAGCAACATGCTTAACATTACACAGGTGGTCATCTGTGGGGGAAGGTTTTGAACCCAGGCTCTGTCAGACCCTAGCACCTGTGCTCTTTCTATTCTGGTGTCAATCCATCCTTCCTTCTTCTCTACCAGAGCAGATCCTACAAATCGATGGTAAAATTATTGTTGTTCTTAATTTAAAACATGTGCAAAGAACCAAGACTGATAGGATTATGGGATTTTTCACTTTTTCAAAGTTGTCTTTAAAACTGTGATAATATTTTACACAAAAGAAGGAAACAGGTGACACTAAGGATAGAAAATGTTACATTTGAAACACCCACTGCTTTGTTGACTCTCATTGAATTAAATTGTTTCTTTTCTCATGAAGGCAACTATATGGAACTAGGAAGATGAATAAAAATAAACTGATTCATGATTTCCTGGAAGTGGTTTCAAGAGGGGATGTGGAACTCATATGTGACCATATTACTAAAGTGCATTCTATCCTTGGAAACCTTGACTTTCAGCATCCAAAGACTGGGAATACACCTCTCATTACTGCAGCAGAAGAAAATCTAACAGAGGTAAAATGTGGTGTCCTGGGACCCATGGGTAGTCTTCCAAGCTAAGGATTCCAGGAATGAGATGGGAAGAGCCTAATTACCTACCTCCATGAAAGAATGTCTGAAGGCACAAAGGGCAGGGGTCAGGAAACTGGAAGGGGACCTGGGGTACCCTAAATAATCTAGACAGTTACCATCTTTATTTATATTCTCTCACTCAGTCAGTCCAGGCAGTATATTAGACTTCATGTTGGGTACAAAAGTGAATCAAATACAGATGTAACCCTCAAGGAGCTTATGGTCTAGAGGAACCACTTAATGGAGCCTGAGTTTTTTTCCTTAGTTCCCACTCACCATTCAGTACTGGAAGTTTGTTCCCTGCTCTAACAAATACACATAATCCTGAAAACAGGGGAAAAGGATTAAATAAATAATGACAAGACCTAAGAGGGCAGGAGATTGGTCTCTTTGCTCTAGCTAAGTGCCTGACATATCTAGGTGCTTAATAAGTATTTACTAAATGGTTAAACTAATAAATAAACAACCCATTTGGGTCTAACTGACCATTTATACCATCGTGTATGGGTACTTGTAAGATTCTTTTTAAGTGTGAAAGGTGGTAACAATATGAGCACATGGAATTGGGTAGGAACAGGAAAGAGGAGGCTTTCAGGGGAATAAAAAAAGGGCTTAGAATGGGGAAACTAGAGTGAAAAAGGCAAATTTTACTCAACTTCACAAGTCAGTGCTTCTACAATCCTTGGGAATCTAAATGCTGTGGGCCTTCAACCCTGCCTGTCCACCTTTGCTTCATCAATTAGTCTCTCTTGACTATATTCTTAGCTTTTTTTCTCTTTGACTCCTTTCTATGAACACTTTTTAAACAAATTATAAAGCATGAAATACATGCTAAAAAATTAACATGTATGCACAACTTAAAGAAAAATAATGACACTAGCACCCATGTGCTTAAACAACAGCAGCTCACTTTTTCATAGAGGGGAATGGAAAGTCCAAGATCAAAGTTTTAGCAGATTCAAGGTTTTAGCAGATTCAGTTTCTATTAAGAGCTCTCTTCCTAGCTTGCAGATGGCCACCTTCTCTCTGTACTCATGTGGTAGAGAGAGAGAGGGAGAGCATCCTTGCTGGTGTCTGTTCTTAAAGGGACACTAATCCTATCAGGTCCTTATAAGGATGCCCCCATCCTTATAAACTATTTCATTAAACTTAATTAATTCCTAGAGGCCCTCCCTCTAAATACAGTCACATTGGCCCCAACATATGAATTTTGAGGAGACATAATTCAGTACACAGCATCCATAGTATTTTGTTCACACTATATCCTGTGCTTGAAATAGTCTTTCCTCCAGTCCTTGCCTGAGTCTGATCCCTCAATTCTCAGCTTAGACCTTATTTTCTCCAAAAATTCTTCCCAGACCTTCTAAGAGAGTTTAATGGGTTTCTTCTAAGTGCTCCCATCAACCTCTATTTACCCTATCATTGCATTTATAACATCATGTTGCAATTGCCTTTTTATATGTCTCTGTTCCATACTAGATTGTAAACACCTGAAAGGCCGGTCACTTGTCTTGTTCACTGTGGGCTCTCAGCACCAAGGACAGTTCTTTACCCACACTAGTGGCTCAGTCCTATTTGTTGAATAAACCATGCATTCACCATTTTAAATAGCGTTTATTCTCTCCCTAGAAATATTTGTGGAAAATACTTGCAACATTCCAGCATCTGTAAGTCTGAATTTTGCTGTTTTATATTCTAAATTATAGATGCCACTAATAGGACTTAAGTGTTTTGTGTGGGTTTAACATAAAATACAGACCTCTAGTTTAAAATAAAATACACACACACACACACACACACACACACACACACACACATCCTCAAGTGATCCGTATCACGGAGATTTTGTTCTCAAATTTAAGAAAGGCAAATAGCAGTCACTTGTATCCAAATCAATTCTTCATTTGTATGCCACTCTTATTCCCCCTTTCTATATTGTAAATTAGAGCCATGTCTAACTAAGTTTTCTACCCAACCTTAAAGATACCATCAGAATTCAAAAAATGCTAACTAAGAACATTGTGGTGTTGCAGGTTGTTGAATTTCTTCTGAAAAAGGGAGCTGATATCACCCTTTGCAATTACAGCAGTCAGACTGCAGTTCATGTGGCTAATTATGATGTCCAAAGACAGCTCTTGGCCATCAGTGGAATCCAGGCTCCCCAAAGGCAGCTTCTACAAAGCTCCTGGCAAGGTGATCTTGAACAGCTTCAACACTTGCTGGTCAGTTAAATTGATCTTTGCCTCTGTCTTTGGGCAGGTGGGTGGATAAGTGGTAAGAAGGGTGCAGAATACAAATGACTTGTTTTAAAGAAAATACACTTTTTTCAAATGCAATCTCAGAAAGTTTCAGGCAGGAAATATAAGAAAGAAGTGGTATCAAACAGGATACTGGGGTGGAAAGCAAGATAATAAAAGAACACTGCAGCAGCCTATTTCCATCTTCCTCCAGAAGGATGCTAGAAGTCACGCAGCACCCGGGGGAAAGGATGTGCTCCCAGGAAGCCTCCAGAGAACTACTGTCAACTTGCTCAGAGGAGTTCCCTTGACAGCATTGCCATTTGTACAATTTCTGCTTAGATCCCTTTGGACCAATTGCAGTTATTATCTTTATCCTGAAAAAGGAATAAGAGCCTATGCTTTGCATAATACTCAGTTGTGACTAAAGGAGTTAAGAGGATACATTTGTTAAATGCTGTCTTCTTAGGATATTGGTCTTCTTGCTTAGATTTTCTACCCATAGATACTCTTTCTCAAAGTAACTTACAAACTCATATGCATAACCAAGGACATTAATGTTTAATGACCAGCAACTCCTACTCTTGGCATTTACCTTCAGAGATACTGTCAGATCACATGACCTTCCAACTGAAAGAAAATCAATTGCTGCTAGGAAACAGTTTCTTCCATTCCCTTAAGGTAGAGACACAGATAAAGAAAAAGTGAATGATATTCTGGTCACCTAGAGTTCAAGGAAATAAAAAACAAAATCAAAAAGTCTCTTTTTTATTGAAGTATAGTTGATATACAATATTATATTGGCTTCAAGTATACAACACAGTGGTTCGACAGTTACACACGTTATTAGATCCTCACCTGGACTAGTGTGGTTACTATCTGTCAACATAGAAAGATGTTACAGAACCATTGGCCAAATTCACCTTGCTTCCATTCCTGTGACCAATTTATAATTGAGACTTTTTTGCCCTTTTATCCCCCTCACCCTCCCCACCCACCCACTCCAACCCCTCCCCCGATGGAAACCACCAGTCACTTCTCAGTGTCTGAGTCTACTGCTGTTCTGTTCATTTTGTTTTGTTTTGTTACCCAAATCCAAAAGACTCTTTAAAGTCATTTGCTGTACCAAACAATAGCCTAAAATTGCCATATATCCTGAACTGAAGGCTTACACTTTGTTTTGAAAGACAATAAATATTATTTTAATGGTATTTACAACTGTTGCTGTAATCCAATGTCTGTTTTCATACTCAGATTTTTTGCCCCTAAAGATTAGCAACCAACTTTTAAGTTTTAACTGGTGCCTATCACTGATCCAGAGCCTCATCGACAGATGCTGACTTAATATGCTATTGCAAGACTATTCTCAGAATAAATATTATTTTAATGGTATTTACAACTGTTGCTGTAATCCAATGTCTGTTTTCATACTCAGATTTTTTGCCCCTAAAGATTAGCAACCAAGTTTTAAGTTTTAACTGGTGCCTATCACTGATCCAGAGCCTCATCGACAGATGCTGACTTAATATGCTATTGCAAGACTATTCTCAGCTCAAAACTTTCATGTTCATTCTAACTAATAATAAACATTGATATAGAGGTGGTTTTTTTTCAGAGACTGAAAAAAATTAATTAATTCCCACAGCACCCCTCTGAAGTAATATCATTATCTCCAGTTTGTCCCTGGAGAAACTGAGGTAGAGACACTGACTATATTGACATGGTGTACAGTGAAATAGAGATGGAAATTAGTGAGTTACTTTGGTCTATAAAGTAAACAGTTTGGATAATTCGAGCCTCCAGTATTTTTGCAGTTTTGAATTGCCCAAATCAATTTTACTTTCATCTAAACAACAAATCATATCTATCTAGCTACCTCCATTTGACTACATATATATGTATATGTGTGTGTATGTATATATATATACACATATATACAGTTAAATGAGTTGTCTTATTGTTATAAGTCATTCATTCATTCACTACACAAATGTTTATTGAGCATGTGTCAAACACTCTGCTCAGTGCTTTTCATATTCTATCTCTAATCATCAAAACAGCCCTTCAAAAAAAAGACACCGTATTCCTGCTTTATAGCTGAGGACTCTGAAGTTCAGTGGGTAGGTGCCCAGATTTTGCAAATAAAGATATAGGCCACTCAGTTAAATTTGAATTTCAGATAAATACCAAATAGTTTTTAGTATAATTATGTTCCAAATGAAAATTATTCGTTGTTTAACTCAGTGCCCTTATTTTGTCAGGGTGATTTTATCACCTTTTAGCAGAGTGTCCTATCATGGAAGTTAAATAACCTTCTTTGGGAGCTAAAATTCAAACCCAGGCCTGTCTGTCTCTTTGACCTGTGTTCTTTCAATTCATCAGCTCCCTCTCTGTTCAGATATTGAGAAAGAATATGTTGAAGTAAAAATGAAAATTTGACCAAGTAATGAAAATGCAAAGATTAGTATAAATAGCCATGTAGTGAAAACACACAGAAATAAAGCTTCATGTTTTTAAAGGCATCTGAAGAGTTCCTGGATATAAATTTCCCAAACCAACATGGCTTGACCCCTCTAATGCTGGCTGTGAGGGATGTGGATCTGTTTGAGAGTCTTGATATGCTAACCGTCTACAGACCTGTGGAGGTTCTGTCTGAGCTCCTCAGGCATCGGGCGTGAGTATGAGTGCTCAATCAGCACCAGTGAACAATGTGGATGCCACTGTTATGGACAGATGTCATCTGTAAGCCTAGACTTGCAGATTGTTTTTTCACTTTATATATTAACTGCACATGCATATTCATAAAAGGGACTTCACAGCTGCAAAGTGATGTACAGATGTTAGAAGTTGCTATTATTCTTATGACATTGGCCCTTTATTTTGTTTGTTTAAACACTTACTCTTTTGGTGGTTGCTGGGAATGTCAAGTAATTCTTGAGTAGACACCTCTCTATGTCCAAGGTGTTATTATTTCAGAAAGCATTGTCAATTACCAAAAGAGATTTATGCCAGCAATTTCCAGTTATCTAAAATTAATACATGCCAACATGCTCTTTCAGGAGAGAAGCAAACAATTAACTTTTTTGAAAAAATCAGAGGGTTAATAAGCAGTGTCTCATATTAGAATTAGTTTCTTAATGCTGCTTATTACCTAGACATCTTGTCATCAAGTAAGAACAGATGGATATGCTCTTGCTCAGGATTTCATATGAATTTGTTTTGGAAAAAAAAAAAGGAAAGAGGGAACTTCGAGAACAAAAATAGAGTCAATAACATGAACTGTTGTAAAAGGATCAGTTAATATAATGGTATGAAGATGGAAGTTTGAAGCTGCCTCAGATTGTAGTATTAACAGCTGAGAAGACTGTTCAAAGTAGGACACCACGCCAGAGATGGTGTGCAGTAGGCCTGGAGCAGGGTCCAGAGTACAGGAAATCAAAGGACGTCCCACGGAGAAACACTATTCAAGGCAGATGAGCAAACTGAAGTCCCAGTGAGTTAAGAGACTTGCTTAAAGCCACATATCAAGGTAGCGGGAGTCCGCAGATTCTTGGTTGTATGTTATTTCTTTTGAATCATGACCTTTGATGGAGAAAAGACTGTTAGAGAATATTGTTGCATATCATAAAACATTTTCCTATCCCATAGTAATAAAAAGATTCAGATTCAGTGACTGTAATGGGGTATGTGGTGGGGACTTGATAATGGGGGGAATCTAGTAACCACAGTGTTGCTCATGTGATTGTATATTAATGATACAAAAAATAAAAATAAAAATAAAATATATATAAATAAATAAAGATTCAGATTGAGAGGTGTTAGTTTGGAGACCATGATCAACCACTCCTTGTCCCAGAATGCAACTAATGAAGCAATTTTAATCATTGTTTCCCTCACCAAAATCTCTTAGTAAGGTTCTCCTCATCTGTGCTCTGGATCTGTCTGAGCTGATGTCTAATCCCAGGACTCAGTAGGGTGTGGGAAAGATATTTGTGCTGTTGTAAGGAGCTCGAAGATCAGCCAGTTGAGCTGAACAACAGGGCAAGGCAAGAAGGAATGAAAAGATCACACAGAGAGGGATTTTAGGACAAGATCTTTCCACTCAACCAAAAGCCTGTGAAATAAGCATATTCGCTTAATTTTAAAGAGAGATTTTATGCCATTCTACTGTTTTGAATGATCAAAGCTGTCTGTTAGCATTACGAAAAAGAATTATCAAGAAAGTAAAGCAGTTAGCTAAATGACTGGAAAGAAAAGAAAATCAACTCAGCTATTTGGGATGATTAGACAACAGTTTATCAAGATGTTTTTATCTTTACTTGATATATTTTTGTCCAAAGTTGAAAATTTTCTGCAAATACTGGAATGTGTTAGAATGGGAGTGGGAATAAGGAAATAAAGAATATTTCTTTTATTTAAAAATCTTGAAAAACTGTCATTCTCTATTTCATACATTTTGAAGTCATTTTTGTTACCCCCAAACTATATAAGATTACTTTGATTTATTTGATGTCAATGTTTTTCCTTACATATTGGTTTTCTTTTTCAACAGATTTAACTAAATGATCTTTGATATTGATTCTTTTCTTCCTAGAGATCCTAAACTCTGTGATTTTAGTGGAAAATCAGCAATACATTATGTGTCACAAATACAGAGTTTTAGAAAACAGCAGTTACTGGACATTCTAATGAATTCTATGCCAAAACCAGGTAAATATTCCTACTCCACTTTTAAAATTCCCCAACTATAAAAGCCATACTAGAAATCTGTCTTCTCTACATGTATTTGATTGATCTATTAAAGAAATCAAGCCAACAACTTTTTATTGAGTAGTGACTCTGTATAAGACCTATGAATAGGTATTCTGGGGGATGCAAAAAAGTCTGACACATGGTCCAAACTTTTGAAAGTATTATGGTCAGAGACACATCATGTAAGTCAGAGGAGGAAGGGTTTGTTGTGAACTTGAAAGGGGAAGCAGGGCTTATGGTGTTTTTGAAGCTGGATAAGATATGGAAGAAGAGAAAAACAGAGAAGATTTGATATAGGTGGCATAGATAGATAAACAAGACGTCTAAGCAGGGACATAGAAACAGCCACAGAGGAAGGTATAATGACAAAAGTGCCCCTGAGCAACAGGCAAGCTCCTTGACTTTGTTGTTTGACTGGCTTTTTTTTTTGACTGGCTTTTTGTTTAAAGCATCTGGGCAGGGAACAAGGCTATCCCCAGGAAGGGTTCATAGAAGAACTGAGACTCAGACTGGTGCTTGAAAAATGATGGGATCTAATTTTGTGGAGCTGTAAGTGAGCATGGCTTATCCCAGGGATGACTGGGAGACTAGAACTGAAAGTCATGTCAGGGACAAGGAATACATAAGATCAGATACATAACAAAACTGGGTCCATTAAAGAGTCATAAAATATCAGACTGAAAGACATATTTTTTTCAAGTGAAATAGAGTCACTAAAGAATTTTAAGCCAGGGAATGATGAAAACCATGTATTAGGAAAATTAACCTATTATGTAGGATGGACTTGAAAGAAGAGACTCATGGCAGGTCGCTCTCTTAAGAAGCTGTAGAAGTGCTCAGGTGTCGGGGCATAAGGACCAGGGAAAGAGTCCTTGGGCATGGTATGGTAGTGGCCCTGAGAGGTGCTGGCTATGAGAAGTCTAAGAGATGTTGTGAAAGAAGAATGCACAGAACTGAGTGATGTAAGGCTGATAGAGAGGAGACACAGAGGCAAAAGTTGACAGAGTTGATTCTAAAGTTTCAGCTACAGAAAGTGCGAGGTGGAAATACAATCAACAAAATAAGAGAACATTCTGCTCTGCTAAGGGTCTTAAAGGTAATGAGTTCTAAAACACTGCATTTGATGGAACCTTGGGACTTTCAAGAAGAAATTTTCTGTAGGACAGTGCTTGTGGGAAAGGACAGGTTGATATGTTAATTTGGGAGTTCTCTACACAAAGGACGTTGTGAGGGCCTGAGAGTGGGTAAGGTCATTGAAGGGTTGAAGACAGTGAGAAATGAGCTGAGACGTGCACCCACAGCTGGAGAGAGGTGCACATAGGGACTCAAGAGAGTGAGAATGGAGGAGGAAAATTGGGAAAGAGTTGCAAGAAGGAAAAGGTGGGAAACAATGTCAAACTGGAGAAGAGGTTACAAAAGCAGGTGTGGTAAGGAAGTAAGAAGTTTCGATGGTAGGATAGAGGCAGAAGATAGACTGCAACAAGTAAAGAAGGAAAATTTGGTGAAGAAATGGGGCATCTGAGAATACAGCAGTTATTCAATTTTGTTACAGTTACAAGACAATGGAAGAGCCATTGGAAGGGGAAGAAGTTTTCATCAGAGAGCCCATGCTTATTTGAAGATGTCCAGATAGCAGGAGAGGGGTGCATTTAAGAGCATTGTCCTTCAGGAATTGAGACTTGGCTGTTTGCTCTTCAGAACTCTGTGTCAATTTAATGGGGCTACAAGTGCTAGACAGGCAGTAATATAATTTCCAGCCCATTGTTAGAGGTTTCACTCAGCAATTTAGCTTTTTTTAAAACAAACAAACAAACAAAAACCCATCCATTCTTGGACTCTCGTTTTCCTCCATTTGAAAACCATTACCTGAAGCTTCACCAGGATCCCAGACTACTTTAGGAAAATCTTTGACAAAATGGAACTGGTTTTGGAACCTAAATCAGTTAGATCTGATTTAGAGATCAGATATAAATGAGCTAGATCTTCCTGTGGAATTGCTGGAGATGAGTCTTATAAAAACACATTATTATGTTTCTTTTGGCAGAAAGACATGCTGAATCATTGGTTGACATCTGTCATGATACAAACTCTTCTCCAACTGATATGATAGTTACTAAAAACCAAAATATCATCTTGCAAAGCATCAGCAGCAATGAGGTAAGATGTTCTCTTTAATGGAACAAACTGACAAAAAATGGGTAACCTACTCCATTTACTACTTCGTGTTGCTTGAATATTTTACAGCAATCACATGCTACAATTATATTTTAATGTATCATAAAGAAATTTAAAGCACAATTAATAAGACACTGTTCCACAAGTTTAATCTCAGAGCAATAATTAGCTAGTCAACTGAGTCTCATGCATTGTGTGTGTGTGTATGTGTGTGTGTGTTTTTATGTGTATCTAATACCACAGAATACTGTTGCAGTTGGATCCATACTAAATACTAAAATATAGCTTGTTTTGTGTATGTTAATGTGTAAAAGAAGAAATTCACTAGTCTGATCATGTCAAAGCCATCACATGGGCACCACAAAAGAGATGCCTCCTCTTGGCCCTGCTCATCACCTCCTTACTGTAATCAATGACTCCACAAAAAGTCCCTCATAGCACAGTCACAGCAAGTAACAGACTTTGTCATCTATAGAAAACTGTGGAATGATACCCAAGATATATAGTAAATTGGTAACAGTGCTTGCCTACAGGGAGAGAATTGGAGATGAACTTTGTACTGTGTGTTCATTTGTAACTTTTGAATTTATATAGAAACTAACACAGCTCAAACAGTTAAGAATATTATTGCTCTGTTTTATTGGTAAGAAAAAACATGGCCACAAAATTGTTTTAATGAGGTATCGTCTATAATATGTATAAACAATAATGAGAACTTTTGGAGATGGTGGAATAAAGACTTTTCAGTCCCTGTCTCCTTCCAAAAAATCATCCCAAAATAACAACAAAAAACAAAACCCAAAATTTAAATTTTAAGCTTTTTATTTTGAAATAATTATAGATTCACAAGAATTTGTAAAATAATACAAAGAAGTCATGCGTAGCCTCCACTAGCTTCCCCCAGTGGAAATTATCATCATAATTCCAATAGATGGTCAAAACTGGGAAAATGACATTGATGTCAATTAACTAAACTACAGACCTTACTTGGATTTCACTAGTTTTTCATGTATTACTTTTTCTTTCTTTTTCTGTTTGTGTGTCTGTGTGTACAGTTCTATGATATTTTATTGCCTGAATCACCACAATCAAGATACAGAACTGTTTTGTCACCACAAAGTGTCCCCTCCTGTTACCCTCTTTGTATCCATACCCTCCTTCCTTCCCTAACTCCCAGCAACCACCAATTTGTTCTGTCTCAATTGTCATTTTGAGAATGTCCTATAAATGGAATGACCTTATATGTAAACTTTGGGGATTGGCTTTTTCTACTGAGCATAATGTTTTTGACACAGATCCAAGCTGTTGTGTGTATCAGCAGTTTCTTTATATTGCTAGGTAGTCTTCTATGGTATGGATGGTCTGCAGTTTATTTAGCCATTCACCTGGTGAAAGACATTTAGGTATTTTCAGTTTTGGAAGATTCCATGCAAAGCTACTATGAGCATTCGTGTACGGATTTTTATGTGAGCATACATTTTCATTTCTCTAGGATACACGCCCAGGAGTCCCAAATACTAGGTCATATGGTAAATGTATGTTTAACTTTTTAAAGAATTGCTGAACAGTTTTCCAAAGTGACTCATTTTATATTTCCACCAGCAATGAATGAGAGATCATTTTTCTGCACCCATGCACGCATTTGGTACTGTCAGTATCTTTAATTTTAATTATTCTAATAAGTAGATGATAGCATCTCATTGTGGTTTTATACTTTTTGTGGAAATTTGTATTTCACTAATGACCAACATTGAAAATTTTTTCATGTGTTTATTTACTATCAGCATAAATTGTTCAAATTTTTTGTCCATTTTCTGATTGGATTGTTTGTTTTCTTACTGTTGGGTTGAGAGAATTCTTTGTATGCTCTGGAATGTGATTCACAAATATTTCCTGCTAGTCAACAAGAATAATTTGGCTTATTATTTCACCCTTTTAATAACTCTTGTATCAAACAGAAGTTTTTAATTTTGATGAAAACCAATTTATCCATTTTTTCTTTTATGGGTCTTGATTATTATATTATCTCTAAGAACTCTTTTACTTGATTTGGGTCCTGGATACCCAAGTGTGTTCAGCTTCTAAAAACTCATGAATTATACTCTTACAATATGTGCACTTTTCTGAAGGTGTGCTACATTTAAAAGTAATGGAAAGGGAGGGGTATGCTTTCAAATATCTGAGAAAAGAATGTGGTTTTCATCCTAGGATTCTATATCCAGACAAACTATAAATCAAGTATTAGAGTTGAATAAAGACATTTCTCAGACACACACTCAAACGTATTACTTCTCATACAGCTTTTATGGAAGCTGCTATGTGCTCTATTAAATTAAGGGAACAGATAAAAATAGAGGGAAAATTAGACCCATGCTTCATTGTGCTGGAATCCAACACAAGAGAGAGGAGGGAGTCACTGGTATAATGGAGAAGGCAAGTCCCCGGGCTTCAGCCATGCATCAAGTCTAAAGAGCAAAGAGCTGAGATAAATTGGGTGGGTGGGAGAGGGGGAGAGCAGGATAATGGGGATTTCCAGGAAGGAAATGGAACTGATATACTATTTGACATATTTAACCAAGTATAGAGACCTTTGGAGGTTGGGAAGATTTAGCCATTAAAAATATATGTGAAAATGAGTAAAACAAAAACAATAACAGGGGATTTGGGCTTTGTGTGTGGGCAAAAAAATTATACAAGAAACAAAGAGTAATCATACAACACTATACATATTACACTACTGAAGTACAGTATATACTATGCAGCACAATACCCACATAATCATAATTTGAACTTTGCCTATTGATTTAACAAAAAAAAAGAGGGTGAATTTATTGGGAGGATAGGGGCAGGGTGTAAGAATATTAAATTGTCGACTACAACAGTAGGAAGCCAATAGACAAAGTCTCACTTTGATGATTCAAGAAATAGCAGGATAAACATATTACCTAGAGATATAGAAGAAAATACCAAAAGAAACAGTTAGAGGCTGAGTGGTTGCCTCTCAGGGAAAAGGTGGGGAAGAAAACTGATGACCTTCTGTTATTAGTTTTTTTAACCATCATTTGACCTTTTCAAAATGTGCAAGTTTGATAATAATATTAATTAAATTAAAATTAAAATGCAGAAATTGTTAAATCAGAACTCCTCTGGGCATGGGATGGAATGAAGTAAAATGGAAATGTTTATTTTTTAATACTATTTCAATATTGTACCTTAGTGCATTTATAACCTTTCTAAATAAATTAGTCTGCTTCTTACCAAAGTTGCTTTATTACAGTGATTCTTAATAGGGGGTAACTTCACCCCAGGGAGCACTTGGTAATATTTGAAGACATTTTTCGTGTCACAATTGGGGCAGAGGTGGGATTAGCATCTGATGGATAGAAGCTAGGGATGCTGCTAGATATCCTACAGTACATGGGACAGCCCCCCGCGACAAAGGATTATCTAGCCCCAAAAGTCAGTACTAGTGAGGGTAGGAAACCCTGCTATGTAGTAGGTTTTTTTTGCAACATTGAAGGTTGTATTGTTTTTAGTTACTAATATTACATAGTAATGAAACTAAAATACCTAGAGACGAATCTGTATAGTGAATGTCATGCATTAGAAATTGATAAGCAAAAGCATATTTCCTTTTTGTTTTTTATGGTATATTTAAGCAATTTTCTTTTTTAAAGGACTAAATATCCCTTCATACTAGTCCATTTTCTTCATGCAACTTTAAAACATTTTTTTGAACTTTCACTCTGTATTTTTTTTTTGTATTTTTTTATTGTATTTTTTTTATTTTTTATTTTTTTATTGAAATAGCTTTGAACTCACTTCTGAGGGAGAAATAGACTCTTTGACTACTGAACTTGCCTTTTCTTCCCTGGTGTGTTCTCTAGGGCTTAAATTGCAAAACCCAAGGTCATCCTTCACTTCTTTCAGTTGAATGAAAGCTTTTCTTTTTGGTTGTCTGCAATAGGTTTTTATAGTTTACAAATATCAGCACAACTGCCTTCCTTGTAGGATTGCTCTTGAAAGACTCTTTATAGCTTCTCCCCATCTTTTTTCATCTAAGGAGAAACTTCTTTCCAAATTTAATTGTGTATGATTTCTGTGCCTCTTTTCTCCTCTGCATGTTTGCATTCTGTTGTTTGGGGATTAGGACGCTAGGCACTATTTCTAGTTTATTTGTCACCTCCTGGGTTAGTGTCAGTGGTTTATGAAATCCATTTATGTTTGGGATGTGCTAGTCTAATGTTTTCTGTCCTTCACTCACAACTCATTATTTTGATTTTCTTCCTTGGGGCACCCTGGCACATCTTAAAGTCTTTCATGTTTAGTGTTCTAAGAGAAATGAGAAAATTAGGAGCGGTTTCTGTTTAGAGTCTTCATTTCCGTGGTATCCTTCAAAGTAGGTATTATTTCCTATATTACTTTTGTTTATGACACTTACTGTTTTTCAGTTTATTCTATGGGAGAAATTTTTGTCACATCTTTTGTATTATTCTGTGCAAAATTTATGGATTAGGTTTGGGTATCCATTCTCTGAATTTTGCTCATTGTTATTGACTCTTTTCTTCCTAGCTTATGTGGAGATTCTTTGTTTTGAACTTTTCAAGGTAGCAAGAAAGCAGAGTGGTTAAGAGCTCTGGAATTAGACTTCGCAGGGTGCTTGTGAATCCTGGTTCTGCCGTTGACTACCTAGGTGACCTTGGTTAACTTCTGTGGGCCTCATATGTGAGAAGAAGACAATTCCTACTTTCAGAGCTGTTGTGAGGATTAAATTAGTTAACATAGGAAGGTGCATAGAACAGCATATGTAAATGCTAGTCATCCTAATGGATTTGTAAGGTAGGTGTGTCCACACTTTGCATCTTCCAACTTTTCCTAAAAAAACAACTAATAAATAAACTGAGAGGCTGAGACTGATCACAGCCCACTAATCAACAAAGACACCTGAAAGGAGAACCAATTATGTATTAACACTTCCAAGTGAGAGCTGCTATTTTCAAAGTTTAGCATAAAAATTTCATTGAATCACTGTTATTATATGAAATCGGTAGAAATACATTTTGAGGTGTCATAGAATGTTCTAGAGGATCTGAACAAAAACTGTATCTACCAAAAGGAAAATTCAATGGTCAATAAACATCTGAAACTATCTCCAACTTTTCTACTCATCAAAGTATGTACAAACAATAAGAGACCACTTTCATGTATTACATTACTCAAGAAGAAAAGTGATGGTAATTGGCAAGGGAGAAGATGGAGGACTTAGCGAAATGCACTCACGCACTGCTAGTGTGTGTAAATAGGAAGTGTTAACTCTACTTTTAAAACAATGCATGTAAAATACTTACACATTTTCATACTCTTTGGCTCAATGATTCCATTTCTAGGAATCGACTGTAGAAATAATGCAGTTTCTTTAGAAATAATGTGAAATCGGGATATTAATTACAAAGATGTTCACAGCAGTTATGTCTAATAATGAAGAATTAAAAACTGCCTTATCAGCATTATAGGACTTAATATTATAAGACTCATGGAGCTTACAAAACATGGTCGTGTCCCTCTGATAGATATTTGTTGTGGGGCAAGAAATTCAAAATTCCACTAAAATGGTGTTGACTTAATAAATTGTTATGTAATTTATACTAGTCTTAAGTGTAAAAGCCTGATACAAAATTATATGATGTAACTAGGTTTTTAAATACTTAGGGAAAAAAACAAAGGAAATAATTATTTCTATGTTAACAGTGTTTGCTTTTTTCTTGTAATATTATAGGTGATTTATTTTTCCTGCTTTTTAAAGAATCCTTTTTTATTTCCATATACTCTAAAAAAGTGTACCTCCTGCCAGCCACTTTGCAATAGGATGGGAGGGAGAAGAAATTTGCCAGGCAGTGGTAGAATTTTTGAAATGCAGAGGAAAAGCAGTGGCATCAACAGTCTAGGATCAGGGTGAACCAGTCCTGGTCTCCCATCTACCGCTGACAACTGGGATGGTCCGAGATGGGACACTTAACATTTGTCAGGAGGTAGACAATGCTTTAAGCATGTACTGCTGTGTAAAAGTAAGGTGTGACTACTAGGATATGATTGAATACTGAAAAAATTTTAATGGCAGTATAAATGGAGGGTTTTATTTTTAATTATTTTCTGTGACTAACTAAGCAGGACGGATTCTTAAGTTCTCTTGGTAATTAATGAATGAATATCAGGGGCTTTGTGATAAAGACTGCCTGCCCACTTGTCTGAAGACCTTTTATCCAAGAGTTTCCTTAAATAAGTGGTTCACCCAGATCACAGAAGCCAGAGAGCTAACTGTAACATGGGCATCGCGATGAGATATTTTAGCTGCTACTTCCATCTGTCACTGTGTTAGACATGAGAAAAGGCAAAATTACCAGCAACAACTTCAAATGAAGGAACTTATCAACAATAATGAGTTCTATAAGAAAACTCCTTTAGAGAGTTAGAATGACTTGTCATAAAATCAAGTTGGTTTTAACCAGTTTTTCAACATACTGATTATTTTCTACAGGGTAAAAAGGGAGTTTGGGAGGTGCCCACCATGATTAGATCAGAAAGCTGTCCTAGGGAAGACTTTAACCAGCTTTGCTCCCTCCTTTCAGTCTAGGGTTGTATCTGTAGCTTCCACCTGGTGTAGTGATTTCCATCCTCGCCATTTGTAAATGACGCCCCAAGAAGGTATTAGGGAAAAGATCATGTTCCTTTGGGGTTGTTCACTGACTGTGGTCAAAGGATTCTTTCCAGTTACCCACTCAGATGGAACTGGTGGCAGCTTAGCAGCCCGGATGCTGACATGATAAAGTATGAAATATTAAATTTCTATGCATCCATGTGATTTTAGCTTTGATCTTCACTTTTGATTATACAGTGAATCACATCCATGTCTGTCTGGGCCTAGTGCTTCAGGGGCTGATGCTTTCCCATCATTTTAGTATTAAATACTTTATCCAGTTTAAAGGGAACCGATGGTATAAAACTTCAGCCTCGAAAAATCAACATTCACTCTGCCAACAAGGTAGGACATTGAGTAACTGAATTTCTGTTTTATGATATTTTAGGAGTTTGACCAAGACGATGACAGCCCTCATTCCTTTCTGGTTAGTGAAGAAGGAGATCCAAGCGGTGACGGACGAGATTGGCAACCCAGGACAGAAGGTATCTGGCTTCTGTCCTTGATGTGTTTACAAAGATAACATTACCTGGATTTTCCCTCTAATTTCAATATTGCTGAGTCAAGAGTTTGAAAACACAAGAGAAACACAAAGGAGGAGAAAATCCACTCATAATTCTATCCTTTGATCCATATCTGAATCAGTGAGTCTTGGCGACTTGCCCTGCAAAAATGGCCATACCTCTTCTTGTCTTCTTTTTATTCCAACCATTTCAGCTCAGCCAGCCATTCTCTGCCCCTTTTCTTTCTGTCTGATGTCTTTCCCTCCATTTCTTTGCTCTCAGAAGTTTCTGCCAGCTCCAGGGATCTGTTCTTTTCCACAACCAAGCACTTCCCCATCAGCCGTTATCCCAGAGCTCCTTCTTGAGGGGAGGAAAGGGTGGGGGGTGCTGAACAAGACACAATGCCTCCAGTCTCAGTCTTTTACTCGTAAGTCTGGAACTTTCCTGAACAGCACCCATTCCAAATATGTTCTCTTGTCAAGCCCACGAGTGGCCTTGCATTTCACACACCACAAGGTATTTGTGGATTCCCACTTAAGAAAATAGTCACCACAGCAGTCACATTTGTCCATCATCTATTGGCCTGTAAGTATCTTAAATTAAATGTTTATTTGAACTGNACGAAAAAGAATTATCAAGAAAGTAAAGCAGTTAGCTAAATGACTGGAAAGAAAAGAAAATCAACTCAGCTATTTGGGATGATTAGACAACAGTTTATCAAGATGTTTTTATCTTTACTTGATATATTTTTGTCCAAAGTTGAAAATTTTCTGCAAATACTGGAATGTGTTAGAATGGGAGTGGGAATAAGGATATATAGAATATTTCTTTTATTTAAAAATCTTGAAAAACTGTCATTCTCTATTTCATACATTTTGAAGTCATTTTTGTTACCCCCAAACTATATAAGATTACTTTGATTTATTTGATGTCAATGTTTTTCCTTACATATTGGTTTTCTTTTTCAACAGATTTAACTAAATGATCTTTGATATTGATTCTTTTCTTCCTAGAGATCCTAAACTCTGTGATTTTAGTGGAAAATCAGCAATACATTATGTGTCACAAATACAGAGTTTTAGAAAACAGCAGTTACTGGACATTCTAATGAATTCTATGCCAAAACCAGGTAAATATTCCTACTCCACTTTTAAAATTCCCCAACTATAAAAGCCATACTAGAAATCTGTCTTCTCTACATGTATTTGATTGATCTATTAAAGAAATCAAGCCAACAACTTTTTATTGAGTAGTGACTCTGTATAAGACCTATGAATAGGTATTCTGGGGGATGCAAAAAAGTCTGACACATGGTCCAAACTTTTGAAAGTATTATGGTCAGAGACACATCATGTAAGTCAGAGGAGGAAGGGTTTGTTGTGAACTTGAAAGGGGAAGCAGGGCTTATGGTGTTTTTGAAGCTGGATAAGATATGGAAGAAGAGAAAAACAGAGAAGATTTGATATAGGTGGCATAGATAGATAAACAAGACGTCTAAGCAGGGACATAGAAACAGCCACAGAGGAAGGTATAATGACAAAAGTGCCCCTGAGCAACAGGCAAGCTCCTTGACTTTGTTGTTTGACTGGCTTTTTTTTTTGACTGGCTTTTTGTTTAAAGCATCTGGGCAGGGAACAAGGCTATCCCCAGGAAGGGTTCATAGAAGAACTGAGACTCAGACTGGTGCTTGAAAAATGATGGGATCTAATTTTGTGGAGCTGTAAGTGAGCATGGCTTATCCCAGGGATGACTGGGAGACTAGAACTGAAAGTCATGTCAGGGACAAGGAATACATAAGATCAGATACATAACAAAACTGGGTCCATTAAAGAGTCATAAAATATCAGACTGAAAGACATATTTTTTTCAAGTGAAATAGAGTCACTAAAGAATTTTAAGCCAGGGAATGATGAAAACCATGTATTAGGAAAATTAACCTATTATGTAGGATGGACTTGAAAGAAGAGACTCATGGCAGGTCGCTCTCTTAAGAAGCTGTAGAAGTGCTCAGGTGTCGGGGCATAAGGACCAGGGAAAGAGTCCTTGGGCATGGTATGGTAGTGGCCCTGAGAGGTGCTGGCTATGAGAAGTCTAAGAGATGTTGTGAAAGAAGAATGCACAGAACTGAGTGATGTAAGGCTGATAGAGAGGAGACACAGAGGCAAAAGTTGACAGAGTTGATTCTAAAGTTTCAGCTACAGAAAGTGCGAGGTGGAAATACAATCAACAAAATAAGAGAACATTCTGCTCTGCTAAGGGTCTTAAAGGTAATGAGTTCTAAAACACTGCATTTGATGGAACCTTGGGACTTTCAAGAAGAAATTTTCTGTAGGACAGTGCTTGTGGGAAAGGACAGGTTGATATGTTAATTTGGGAGTTCTCTACACAAAGGACGTTGTGAGGGCCTGAGAGTGGGTAAGGTCATTGAAGGGTTGAAGACAGTGAGAAATGAGCTGAGACGTGCACCCACAGCTGGAGAGAGGTGCACATAGGGACTCAAGAGAGTGAGAATGGAGGAGGAAAATTGGGAAAGAGTTGCAAGAAGGAAAAGGTGGGAAACAATGTCAAACTGGAGAAGAGGTTACAAAAGCAGGTGTGGTAAGGAAGTAAGAAGTTTCGATGGTAGGATAGAGGCAGAAGATAGACTGCAACAAGTAAAGAAGGAAAATTTGGTGAAGAAATGGGGCATCTGAGAATACAGCAGTTATTCAATTTTGTTACAGTTACAAGACAATGGAAGAGCCATTGGAAGGGGAAGAAGTTTTCATCAGAGAGCCCATGCTTATTTGAAGATGTCCAGATAGCAGGAGAGGGGTGCATTTAAGAGCATTGTCCTTCAGGAATTGAGACTTGGCTGTTTGCTCTTCAGAACTCTGTGTCAATTTAATGGGGCTACAAGTGCTAGACAGGCAGTAATATAATTTCCAGCCCATTGTTAGAGGTTTCACTCAGCAATTTAGCTTTTTTTAAAACAAACAAACAAACAAAAACCCATCCATTCTTGGACTCTCGTTTTCCTCCATTTGAAAACCATTACCTGAAGCTTCACCAGGATCCCAGACTACTTTAGGAAAATCTTTGACAAAATGGAACTGGTTTTGGAACCTAAATCAGTTAGATCTGATTTAGAGATCAGATATAAATGAGCTAGATCTTCCTGTGGAATTGCTGGAGATGAGTCTTATAAAAACACATTATTATGTTTCTTTTGGCAGAAAGACATGCTGAATCATTGGTTGACATCTGTCATGATACAAACTCTTCTCCAACTGATATGATAGTTACTAAAAACCAAAATATCATCTTGCAAAGCATCAGCAGCAATGAGGTAAGATGTTCTCTTTAATGGAACAAACTGACAAAAAATGGGTAACCTACTCCATTTACTACTTCGTGTTGCTTGAATATTTTACAGCAATCACATGCTACAATTATATTTTAATGTATCATAAAGAAATTTAAAGCACAATTAATAAGACACTGTTCCACAAGTTTAATCTCAGAGCAATAATTAGCTAGTCAACTGAGTCTCATGCATTGTGTGTGTGTGTATGTGTGTGTGTGTTTTTATGTGTATCTAATACCACAGAATACTGTTGCAGTTGGATCCATACTAAATACTAAAATATAGCTTGTTTTGTGTATGTTAATGTGTAAAAGAAGAAATTCACTAGTCTGATCATGTCAAAGCCATCACATGGGCACCACAAAAGAGATGCCTCCTCTTGGCCCTGCTCATCACCTCCTTACTGTAATCAATGACTCCACAAAAAGTCCCTCATAGCACAGTCACAGCAAGTAACAGACTTTGTCATCTATAGAAAACTGTGGAATGATACCCAAGATATATAGTAAATTGGTAACAGTGCTTGCCTACAGGGAGAGAATTGGAGATGAACTTTGTACTGTGTGTTCATTTGTAACTTTTGAATTTATATAGAAACTAACACAGCTCAAACAGTTAAGAATATTATTGCTCTGTTTTATTGGTAAGAAAAAACATGGCCACAAAATTGTTTTAATGAGGTATCGTCTATAATATGTATAAACAATAATGAGAACTTTTGGAGATGGTGGAATAAAGACTTTTCAGTCCCTGTCTCCTTCCAAAAAATCATCCCAAAATAACAACAAAAAACAAAACCCAAAATTTAAATTTTAAGCTTTTTATTTTGAAATAATTATAGATTCACAAGAATTTGTAAAATAATACAAAGAAGTCATGCGTAGCCTCCACTAGCTTCCCCCAGTGGAAATTATCATCATAATTCCAATAGATGGTCAAAACTGGGAAAATGACATTGATGTCAATTAACTAAACTACAGACCTTACTTGGATTTCACTAGTTTTTCATGTATTACTTTTTCTTTCTTTTTCTGTTTGTGTGTCTGTGTGTACAGTTCTATGATATTTTATTGCCTGAATCACCACAATCAAGATACAGAACTGTTTTGTCACCACAAAGTGTCCCCTCCTGTTACCCTCTTTGTATCCATACCCTCCTTCCTTCCCTAACTCCCAGCAACCACCAATTTGTTCTGTCTCAATTGTCATTTTGAGAATGTCCTATAAATGGAATGACCTTATATGTAAACTTTGGGGATTGGCTTTTTCTACTGAGCATAATGTTTTTGACACAGATCCAAGCTGTTGTGTGTATCAGCAGTTTCTTTATATTGCTAGGTAGTCTTCTATGGTATGGATGGTCTGCAGTTTATTTAGCCATTCACCTGGTGAAAGACATTTAGGTATTTTCAGTTTTGGAAGATTCCATGCAAAGCTACTATGAGCATTCGTGTACGGATTTTTATGTGAGCATACATTTTCATTTCTCTAGGATACACGCCCAGGAGTCCCAAATACTAGGTCATATGGTAAATGTATGTTTAACTTTTTAAAGAATTGCTGAACAGTTTTCCAAAGTGACTCATTTTATATTTCCACCAGCAATGAATGAGAGATCATTTTTCTGCACCCATGC